CATGTTTAGTGCACGGAGCTTTGGGGGCTGCCTATAACAGCTTCATGCCTGAAATCGAGGCAGGATTTTGGCGGCTGTCTGAAAGTGCCCCACGCCAAAATCCTGCTTGGATTTCGGCACGGAGCTTTCCAGGCAGCCCTCAGAGACGAGAGGGAATCCTCTCAGGAGGCAGCAGCAGCAGCTTGTGACCTTCCCTGACAGCTTCCCCATTGACTTTCCTGGCAGGTGGCAGGGAGGATTGCAAATGGCGATCACATGATCGCGGGGCAAACTGATTGCCAAGGGCCCAGATTGCTGTCATAACTTTGAATAGTGGCTGAGTGGTCGTTAAGCGAGGACCATAATCTTTCATAAACCAGGGGAATGCAAAACTGCAACCGGTCAATATTAGTTTTTACATATTTATCCCATTCTAAAAAAGGTACCGTGACATATAAAAAAGGTACCCAGTTACTGGGAAGTTAACTCTAGTATGAACCTTGGTATGTTACAGATAGAGACAAGCCAATGAACATAGAAGCATTCTCAGGCAGTTCCTTTTTTTATGTATGTAATTTTTTATTAAGGATTTTGATTACCATAGTAAAAACGAATACAAGTTAAAGAAATAAACTTAAAGAAGAATAGGAAGAAAGAATCAAAAATGCAAGAAAAAGAAAGATAAAAATATATATTCATATAAAGAAGTGACTTCCAACCTTCATTACAAGTATAGACAAATTTAGTAACTCTTCAACCCCTATATAGTTACAAAGATATCTCTTCATCTCATCATATCTCATCCCTTATCTATAAGCAAATCCATAAAACATAAACTTTTCAATCTTGGTGTCAGCAAAAAGTCCGTAAAGGTTTGCCAGAACTTTCAAAAAAAGTTTTATTTTAACCTGATCAAATAAGCCAACTTTATATTCCTTCCTTTACTTCTAAATGTCTTAACTTTTAGTTCATTCAAACATTGTTGTAGGATTAGATTTCTCTTCAATTCTTCTTTATCCCATCGCATAGACTTCTTCAAGGGTTTAACAAGCCTCTTTTGTAGATCCAATAAGAAAACATTTTCCAGATCATTCTCTTGGTTTATCATTTGCATTTCCCCCTTTAATTTTTAAAACTTCAGCCAGTTTCTTTTATAAATCCAATAAAGTGTCCTTTTCCAAATCATTCTCTTGGCCTGTCATCTGTAGTTCCACTTTTGGAACTTTGTCTTGTCAGACAAAATTTGCTCCAAAATTTGTCAATCCCTCATTATCACCTTTTAGACATAATCTATCCATAGGATCAGACATCATTACTGACACATTTGATATTGTAGCTACTAATTTCTGGCTCCATTCTTTAAAGATCTACTTTAATATTTCCAGTGTTATGATGCTTTTTGTCATTTTGTAAGTCCCAGTTAACCGACACCAAAAGCAGGCTTGTATTTTCCCCCCTTCTACTTAGAACCTTTAGTCCCCTCTAGTGTCCAGTTTCTAAAATCATAAAGTTGCTCATCTTTGTTATGAGCCAAGATGGCCAAAATAATTGTGGTTCACATGAGAAGCTATTTATTTTTGAGTTAATTCCAAAATCTTACAGTAAAAATCAATATTCCAAATTTAATCGGACCCTTAGTCCATTTGTAACTATCTTAGATCAAAATCTTATTTGGCTTTTTGCTGTTTATTTCGAATTCTTTAAGTTCTTAAGCTTTTACTTAGTTTTTCTTTTGTTCAGAGTTGAAGCTAAACTCACTGGGCAGCTTGTCAAACTTGTTGTTCCAAAGGTCTCTAATAGCTTTAAAATGGTTAATAGGCAATTTCTGAAAGTGATTAGAAAGTGAGGCCTGCGAACCTAGTGTCCTTTAAAAGGCTCTGCTGAGGTTGCGAGCAAGATGGCCGATCCCTTCGTCCCCCGGTGCTCAAACCCACGGAAGACCACTGTCCTGCAATCTCCTTGTGAGGAGCAGCCATCTGAAAAACATGTGATCTCCCGTCCTCTCCTTATGTGGAGAGGTTCCAAAGAAATGGTCTACTCACCGGTTCTTCGGTCTTCGCTGCGGCTGCAGGCTCGCTGTGGCCATGCCTCCCGCAGAAGTCCGCATTCTCAGACAGTTCCCGAGAGAGAATCATTGCTGAACATGCTGCACAGAGACCAAGTAGTGGACGTGACTGTGTACCTTTATGCAACGTTGCAGGCACTAAAATATAAACAAACATTAAAAATGGCCAGAAGCCACGAGACTTCATGTGTGAACAGAGATCTTTCGCAATGTACCTGTTTTATGAGTTGTTTAAGCATTGGGTAGGTCAACAGACCATCTAATGATGTTGCCGGCGTTCAGCTTAACACAGCCTCTGAGCATTCTCCTTTGATTTCTTACAGGGCACAGTCATCAACTCTCCCACATCTGTGCAGTCATGGGGACTCATTTCCAAATGGAAGCCCTTCGTGTGGACATGGAAGACCGCAGCAAGGCCTCCTTGCCCTCCACTTTCTTCTCACAAACAGTGGGTTTCTTTGCGGCTGCCGTGGTTGTCAACCTTGTCATCATTGCCATTTTCTCTAAGGCACTCTATTCCACACCCAGATTCTCCAAGAAAGGAAGCAAGCGCCAGGACTAATATTTTGTTAGAAATAACATCAAAATTCTACCACTTTTAACATAAAAGGTCCAACACGAGGTACTGCTTTGAAGAAAATACAGCAAATACTCTTCGTGGAGCACATCAAGGGACTTGATTCAACTTCGGATTTGCTTTCGTGTGAACTGTGAAGTACCACACAACTAGCAATTTGCTCTTCAAAGGGTTAGGCTAGGATAGTTTGACTTGGAGTATTTCAGAAGGACTGCAAGTTTCAGGACTCAGTAAAGGAACTGAGTAACTTCGGTCTTTTGAATTTATACCAATAGGAGGCTCTACACTAACTGATGAAAGTCAAATAGAAACCCAGCTATTCTATAGTAGTGGGGAACAGCTGGCCCATTGAATGAAAAGGCCACCTTCTGTGCCCCGCAGGAGTCACCTGACCCCCCGGGGCCAATGGGGGAAAGAAGGGGGCACCCAGGGCAAATCCTTCCGCGGGCTGCAGGAACAGGGCACAAATCCTGAAGATTTCAGCTCTTCCCGCAGCCCGCAGGGGGATTTCAGCTCCCCTGGTTCCCTCTGCTCGCAGCTGACTTTCTGGGGACGCCGGCAGAGAAGACTGCAAATGGCAATCATGCGATTGCAGGGTGTTGGCCACCGGTCGTAAATGCGAGCCAGTTGCCAAGTGCCTGAAACGCAGTCACAGGATTACAGGGGGAGGGCGGTGTGGCATTTTATGATGGCGGGAAGTGCTTTACAGGCTGTAAAGCAGGGTTCCTCAACCTCAGCAACTTGCAGATGGGTGGACTTCAACTCCCAGAATTCCCCAGCCAGCAAGGAGACACCATAGCATAGCTGGCTGAGGAATTCTGGGAGCTGAAGTCCACCCATCTTAAAAAATACAGATACAAATACAAAGTCGCTGAGGTTGAGGAACCCTGCCGTAAAGCCCCCTTCCTGAGGCCACTGCAACTCTGAACGGTTGTTAAGCGGGCGGTCGTAAGTCAGGGACTACCTGTAGTTTAGCTACTGAGGGTCTCTTGCATTTATTCAAACGGCTTGCTGCCTGTGCGGAACCGACCTTCTGCTAATAAAGTGGACGTTGCTTTACCGGGCTGAGCTGACTCCCAAAGCCTTGCCGGGGATCCCCTTCGCGCAGGGGCTCAGAGCCGAGGCCCCGGAGGAGCGGTGGGTCTGAGCCCCAAGGCGGCTCATTCCCCGGGGG